ATCTCATATTTAATTTTTCTTAAAGTATTAGGAAATTCTGATATAATGTTCTCATATTGCAATAAAAAATTATACAATGTCTTCATGCTTTTAGTGTATTTTTGCACATTGCAAATTCTAGTATAAAACTATGATCTTTATATTCATTTTCTTTGTCATTTTTCATGATATTTTCAATAATTTACTCATTATACAAAATAATAATTTGTAACTAAGTAGGTAGGTAATGTTTGCATAATTATAATATACAATATATGTATTAAGTTTAATATTTTAAAAAAATCTTGATAAATTAATTTTTATTAATTAATTATAAATTAATATATAATTAATTAATATATTAATTAATTAATAAATTTTCATAATTTTGATATCACGTGATATAAAATGATAAGTGATATTTTAATTAAATTAATTATTAATTTTAAAAATTTATTTAATTTAAAATAAAAATATAAAAATTTATTTAAATAAAAATTAAATATAATAAAAAATTTTATTTTAAATTTTTTGAATAATTGAAAATTTTGTTGAAACATTATCAAAATTTGTTCAACAACTCCTTGTGTTCATGAACAAACACAAACACACTTATGCCGTTACCAATTTACCATATATATATCGAAAAAAAAATCTCAATGATATATAAATTTACCAAAAAAAAAAGGATATAAAATACTAATTTTATATTATAATATATAATTAATGATTTTTTATATTTGAAATGTAGACTTAATTTTTGTTTTTTTAAATAATTAATTTATTTTTCATTTTTGCGCTATTAAGCAAAGAATCCTCTCTAGTCTCTTCCAAAGCTAACAAACAAAATTTTCAAAACCCAAAGGACAAAGGTAAGGAAGAAAATGCAGAGGCTTCTTTTTCTGAAGCAAGCCTCATCAAGCTTCTCCAAAGCACTGACAAAAACATCTTCCTCGTCTTCGCTTCTCCACTCTCTTCCTTACAAAACCTTCTCTTCCATTGCTAAACCAACCGTCGACAACCAGTTTCTGAACTCTTCATTTTCACACACATTTCACCACCACTCTTTTCGATGGCGATCTCAGCTAAGTCTTACAGGGGAAATTCAAGGGTTTCTCTCGTACCCAGTAGTTGCAAAGCGATTTTGGTTGAATTTCTCAAGTATCCATCTCAAAACTTCTGGAAAAAGTCTCCTGGATTGCAGAGTTTGGTTTCTCAGACCGCAGATTCCCAGAGGAAGATTTGATTTTGGTCTTCAAACGAGTCGATGGTAATGCGTTTTTTTATTCTTTCAAATTCTTACATATTTAATTATATAATAGTGATAGACACTCAGGATCGTGTTCTATACTTCTATTACGAAATTTATGCTACATGCATTTTCCTGGTACATCTCCTTTAAATAATCTCTCAAAAGCATTCAAACAACTGTTTTTGTTGTTTGTCCTTGTTACTAAGAGCTAATTCTCATCCTGATTCCCTTCTAAAACTACGATTCTGATTCATAAAAGTTAAGAGTTTGGCTCATTATTGTCTTTCAAGTAATTTTCTCATAGTCAGAAGAATACAGTTCGTTTCTACATGGATCACCTTTTTTGTTTTAAGAAAGAACTTACCAGTTATATAGTAAATTCATAAACAACTTATGGTTCTCATTGTGATAAGGGGTTATTGCGAAAGCATAGCCATGGTTGAACCAACTTGTTGTAGCATGACTGTGTTTATATGTTCTTATATGTCGATAATCTATCTTCTGTTTGGTTTGCAGGAGATTATGGTTCCAGCGATTGACAGCAAGTGACATGGTTTTGGGCTTGATTATAACTAATGTTGCTGTTTTTTTATTATGGAGGATTGCAGATAGAAAATTTATGATGAATAACTTCATGGTGAGTCTGTAGATAGCTTTTGACCTGCTTGTTAACATAAAATGTCCATGGTAGATTTTGCCTTCTAACTTCCTATTCCTTGCTAGATGTACTCCTGAGTAGAAAATTGAATTTTTTTAGGGACAAAAATTGAAGAGATCCCTAATAGTAGTGTCATTGCTAATTTACTATACAGTGCTTATAATATATTAATGATATTAAAGCAAGTACTTTGTGGAATATATCCTTTTTATAAAAACTAGTATTTATTGTCACGTGCTCGTGAATACTTTTTTTTTTTTTTTTAAATTACACTTATATATGAAATACAAATGTTTCTAAAGTCTAAAGTTAATTGTCTAGAAATAAAAGACAATTATATATAGAAGACAATTAATGTTTCAATTATATATAATTGGAATTTTTTTTTGAAAATGATATATAATTGGAATTTTGTATATTAATCTATAAATTATTCAATACTATTAGAATTAATAAAAAGATTTTTTAATGAAAATCATTCAATGCAATCAGAAATATAGTGAATAAATATGACTATTTTTGTCAATTAAAAGTTTTCCAACATCCATATTTATATATATATATTATAGATTATAGATTATATTTAAGCACATTTAGTGATAGCCTTAGTAATGTATTGAGAGCTCATATGGCTCAACTCACATATTCCCAGTAGTTTATCTTGTACTTGCTTTTCTCATTTTCTCCTCCTAACTTATTTGATGTTCTTTGAGCAGGTTTCATTGGACAATTTTAAAAGTGGACGCTTGCATACACTGATCACTTCAGCTTTCAGTCATATTGATATTGAGCATATTATCTCTAACATGATTGGCCTTTATTTCTTTGGATCAAATGTATGATTATTGAAATCTTTTATTTGGCTACAGCATCTTTTCTTACCACATGTGTTACAACTGCTTCTTTTGGACTGTTAATTTATGATTGCAACCTTGTATAGCTAGTTAAGAGAGAGCTCGGCATTGAAACTTTGCATGAGAAACAGCTATCATTTGATTTTTTTTTTCCTTCTTGTATAGAGATATCGGAGAGTGAAATTATTATTATTATTATTTTTGGCCAAGAGTGAAATTATTTATTTAAGACCTTATAAGTTGACTGGAGATTTGAATCTATTCATAAAACATGGTTTATAGTTGCTACATTCCCAGACTCCGTATTTTGCTCCACACTTTGTTACATTAATTTGTCCCTGACTATTTTTACGACTAGTGTTGACTAATGAACTGACTGACTGTTTTCTATTGCAATGGAGATTGACTCTGAAATTCCTTTTGCATTTAACTTGTAAGAGAAACCTTATGTTAAAGAGAATACAATTTCTAAGTACCTAATAAGGTTTCCATCAGCTACCAACCTAATATTTATCATTTCGGATTGAGATTGAGATGTACAAATCGGGAAGTGAGAAAGCTAAATCATGCTTTTATCTTCAACATTGAATCTTACTAGTCATTGCATTTCCACATTTTTAACTAGTTTTTTCTCCCGATTTTAAATACTTATTCACTGTAATATTTCGTTAAATTTCATACTTTCAACTTTTTGAGGTAAGCATAATGGTGTTCCCATGTTACTCTGGCTGCTTGGTGGACTTAATTACCGAAACAACTACTTCTTGCTACATTTTCCTTTTTGTGTCTGTGTATGCTTTATCTTCATTGCTTGTCTTCCTTGTCCTTTTTTTTACTCTTTTTCTTTGTTACTCCCCAGGAGCATTTATTTTTTAATTTTTAGCCCTTTTTACTTTGCATTGGGCAGATTGGAAGAGTCTTTGGACCTGAATATTTGCTGAAGTTGTATCTAGCTGGGGCAATTGGTGGTTCAGTGTTTTACTTGGTGCACCATGCATTTTTGGCATTATCATCAAAGGTACCATTTCACTGCTAGAAATATCTGAATACCTACTCTGCCACTGTTAGTTAGTTACAGGAATGGTTTTTTGTCATATTGGCAACAACAAACCCTAAACCTAATTGATTTGGGATACTTCACATTGCATTCTCCCTGATGTTTAGGCTCAATAATATAATAACTTAGGCAAACGTGTCTACTGTGTGTACGACTAATGTTGGGCGACAAACAATGAATAATAACAAATGGGCAACAAACAATATAAGCTCTTTGCATTGATAGCATGTTAACATCCCACCAAAAATCTATTAGCAATAGGTAGACGTGTCCAACTTTTAAATAAGGCCACTACAAATACAAACTTAATCCATTCAAAGTACACCACACAATAGACTCTAATACATGGTTGTCTGCAGGTCTGAGATGAGAAGTCTATTCTACATGTTACAAAAATAAAACCTTCTAATTGTTAATTAGTGTACTTGCACGTTAATGCTTATGTAAAGGTTCACCTAGAATGATGGAGAAAATTTCTTCATTTTCTGATGAATCATATATGAATGATCAGTTGTTTCTCACACTTACCCATCTACCACAGGGACATGCCATGTGGATGATGGACCCTTCAAAGACGCCGGGATTGGTATGCTTTTAGCCTTCAGTGCATCAAGCTCCATTCATAACCTTCGTGTTTTTTTTTTTTTTCTGT